TTAATGAGAGGCAGTACACCGAACAATGCTTTGCGGTTACAAATAGCAGAGTTCAAAGATTTATTATACCGGCAAATAAGTTGCTTTTAAGAAGTTTTTGCTAATGTTGCATAAGAATTGAAGCAGTTACCGCTTTTTTGAAACAATTTTTCTTGTTCGTTACTATACTGATGGAAATGACAGTGAATTTCTCACAGTTCAGTTGTGTTTAAAGGTGAGATTTACTGAGATAGTTATATTCATTTCCTTTTGCGTTTATTTTTTACTTCTTTGAAGGTAATGATTATTTTTAGCTTGGTTGTGATCCAAGTCGTCTTATAATTAAAGTAGTAGACCTTGCCAGCTTTGCATCAATTCGAGAGTCCGCACGAGAACTAAGAAATGGTTTGATTTTTTTTTTGTTTCTTGCATTTCTAGTCAAGGTTTTGGCTTGGTTTTACTTGTTTTTATTGTTTATATTCGACTGTTGTATTCTAAGCGTTATTTTTTTCAACGTTGAATTATTTCAGAGCTTAGTGTTATTGATATACTAGTGAATAATGCTGGTATCATGGCATATCCAAAATACGAATTAACTGTCGATGGTTATGAAGTTACGTGGCAGACAAACTATCTAGGTCAGTTCTAATATGCACCCGTTTTTCCGATGTAAATCTATCTTATATTTTACTTTTATGTGTTATCATTTGTCTTTCAGGGCATTTTCTGTTTACGGAATTGCTGCTACCACTAGTTGAACGTTCTGCTAATGGAAGAATTATTAATGTTTCGAGCTCGCTGCATAAAAGAGCCGATTCCGTGGATTTTTTTGTGGTTAATGATCCGAGGAACTTTGGTCGGAACAAGTCATATTGTAGATCTAAGCTTGCCCAAGTACACTGTTTTTTGCATTAAAGAAAAGTTTAAAGATGTTTCTTATAATAATTCACTTAAAACTTGTTTTAGCAGGATATCGTTTAGGTCATGCATGCACGTGAACTCTCGCGGCGAATACGAGTTACAAACCCATCATCAAATATCACAGTAAATTCAATGCATCCAGGATTATGCGCAACGAATCTGGGCCGTTATTCCCTGCTGATGAAGACACCGTTTCGGCAAATTTTCAAACTTCCAATTTGGTTTTTCACGAAGACTGCTCTTGTAAGAAGCTTTAGCTAAAAGATGTTTCTTTTTTCTTTACAATTTCTAACCAAAGTCGAGAGTCTTGCAGGATGGAGCACAAACAGTTTTATTTCTTTCTTTAAGCAGAAGTGTGCAAAGCGTATCTGGATCTTATTTTGGGTCAGTTTTTATTATGTTGTTAATGTACAGATTCTCGTAATTAGGATTTTTTTCTTGTAACACTTGTTGATTTTCTGTTTAAGGATTAGCAGTTTTATTCATACTTAGTAGAAATGGCTAAGTTAATTTTTGATATATTTCTTGAACGACTGAATTACAGGGAATGTGCTGAACAAGAACCGTCTCCAAAAGCGTTGGATGATGATTTGTGTAATATTTTATACAATTACAGCATCGAAGGGGTCGATTTGCCAGCGAGCCTAAAATACGTTACTTCTTCATGATTCCCTTTTACCTTTTACCTTTTATTTTTTCCTTCATTTTATTCTTTTACTTGTGGTGTAATTCAGACTTTATAAACTGGTTTTTAATGTATGCTTTCTCGCTTTTTTCTTTTTTACGTGTTGGTTAGCAGTATAGATTCGTTCCGTAATGATTTCAAAACCCACTAGTAATCCAGAAATTATTCTCTTCTTTCACTTTCATAAACTCTTAACCAATGTTTTTATAATATTCTGTAATCTGATATGGCACACTAGGTCATGAAAAAATTCTCTGTTTATTTTTTATCGCCAAATTAATTAAGATAATAGCAGTTGCTGCGGTTTTTTATTATCTTGTTGGTGGTTATCAGTTGCATAATTTATAGTTTATACCGCTTGTACGTTTGATTTTCTGTTCTTTTTGCTTATGCTGAACTGGTAAAGTTTATTTCTTGTTTGGCCAAGAGCTGTTGTCAGAAATTATTCTTTTCTTTTTATTATTTATTGTTAGAAATCTCGCTAGGGTATAAAACGAATTATTATTTTGATCAGAATTCTGTTCTTTGTAAGAGCAGAAATGTTAATGTTTATCAGTCTATTCTTGATTAGCTTACTTCTCTTGTTGCTGATAAATCTCAACATGTTTTGCTGTTAAGTTGCTAACGTAGGTGACAGTGTTCAAATTTTGATGGTATTAGATTTTAAACGTCCTTAAGTTTGTTACTTTGACTGCAGATAGTTGCTTACATTATTGAATTACCAACTTTTACTATTTGGTCTTATTAGTTCAACGGACTTCTATTTAAAAAAGTTTGTTCGGCTTTTCAGGTCTTATTTTTTTTTTGTTCTGCTACCACCATTTGTATTTCTTTTGTACAGAAGTCTTTCATCCTTTTTAATGCGTTATTGTCACAAATAAATATTTTGTACATAACGCCTATAGTGTACTACCTTTAAAATACCCGTAATCGGTGGGCAACATATTATTTGGAGTTTTGCTTCACCATCGTTTTTGCTCAGTTTTGCTTTTTTTCACTTTAAGCACTGAGGTTTTAAACAGGTTTTTGGTTTGTAATTTGCTGCTTTGGCTTTATTTCTGTAGTCTTTGGCATCGTTTGTTTCTACAGCTCAAGACCCGATTCGAACTCCTCACAGTTCCGGTGACGATAGAAGATGTTCCCATTGTATCTGCTCTTCTGTGTTGTAGCACTTTATTTCATCAGGTGACTTGAGTTCTTTTATTAAGAAAAAATCAATTATTGGATTTTGCACATTTACAGCTGTAGTAGCAGCATTTTTTCAGTTACATTCTATTTTTCGAATTTATTGTTATGGCAAAAATCGCTTTGTAGGAAATATTTCAAGGGGCAACAGTTCTCGGAGAATGTTTCAGCAAAAGAAAAAATTGCTTTGATTACCGGAGCTAATAGCGGACATGGTTTGCAACTGACTAGAGAGCTGAATTTGCGAGGTGCCACTGTTTATATGCTGTGCAGAAGCAGCGAACGAGCTCAGGAGGCTAGATCTACGCTCACTAAAGTAAGTTACGTATTTTTGGATCATTTATAGTAGTAATTGAGTTTTTCTCTGCCCACCACTCATATTCTTTATTGACTTTCAGAGAGTTATGTACCTGCTCTACTTTTTTTTTGATGGATTTCTCTGGTACAGTTTACAATCTCGTTTTTAAAAATTTGAAGCGTTCTGTTTGTCTGTGGGTCGGTTGAAATTAGCTGATAAGTAGTTAAAGTATTAGAAGTTATCTGTAATTTGTTTTTAATCTGTAGCTTGGTTGCGATCCAACACGACTGATAGTAAAGCTAATTGATCTTGCTGATTTTTCGACAGTAAAAAAGTTTGCTGAGGAGATAAAAAAAGGTTTGTTTGCTTGTTACTTTATGACAATATAGCATTTTTATTGAGCAGGAGACCTATTACTTTATTTTTGTAATCAATTTTTTAGAAGTAACACATATTGATATACTTGTCAATAATGCAGCAGTAATGAGTCACGAGAAGTTTGAACGCACCATCGACGGCTACGAGTTTATTTGGCAGTCTAACTATTTAGGTAGTCAGCTCAGCATTCTAAACGAGCTTTTTTATTGACATAGCTTTGTAAGAAGTTTTTGGAGCAGGTCGTAGATTCCGGTTCTAATCCTGTTCCGTCTAGGTCATTTTCTCCTGACAGAACTTTTATTACCACTTTTAACGGAATCAAAAAATGGACGTATTATCAATGTTTCTGCTAGGCTTCACCATATGGCTGATAGTGTGAAAATTTCCATAGTAAATGATCCAAAGAAGTTTCGCTTCTTATTGCCATATGCGCGTTCCAAATTAGCGCAGGTGTGTTCTCACTGTGAAAAAAAAAAACGTATTTTTTCAGCTGTAATGATCTTTAAATTGTTTTCTTTGAAGATCAGAAGTTGTGCCTTTGCTCTTTGCTAACTCTGATACAGACTATTTCCTTAACAATGATGTGTTTGAAAATTAAATAAAAAAATAAGTTGCTTTTGTATAGTTTTATAAACTTGACCTATTATGCTTAAGACTTATAAGAGTTGGGGTTTTTGAATCATTACTTGTGCTGGAAGTAAATCAGTTTGTTTTTCGATGGTCTAGACACTTAGTCGTTAAGATAATGCATGCACGTGAACTTACTCGTCGTTTACGAGCTTCAAATCCTGCTGGTACGGTGACAATAAACGCTCTTCATCCTGGTGTTGCTGCAACCAATATTATTAAAACGACTATATTTGGGAAAACTCCTCTTCGTCAGATCATCACAGTCTTTGGTTGGTTCTTCACGAAAACAGACAGGGTACAGCTTTTTTAATTTGTTGTAACTACTATTATCTAATTTTCGTCTTCAGATTGAGCTGTTAAAGTTTAGTTTTCCGCTGTACAGAATTTTAAATTTCAATGCAATTATGTCTTAATCATAGCAATGTGTTTTTGTTTAGGACCTTGCGCAGACCGCACTGTTCCTCTGTTTGAGTAAGTCGGTGGAAAGTGTTTCTGGGAGATATTTCAAGTACTTAATTTGTTTTTTATTCTTTTTTTTGAAGGGCAATGAGCTTTCTTAAGAAAGACATAGTTCTTTATTAACCGTATTTTTCGATTCTTCTTTGTCTTTTCAAACTTTTGCTAAATATATCGATTTTATCGGTAGGTTGCTCTATGAGATAAAACTGACGCAAACGTTTTCTCATAATTTTTTATGCATTTCGTTTTTTTAAAGGGATATGAAAGAAATGCAGCCATCAGCAAATGCACTGGATGATGAAGCTTCAAATCTGTTGTATCTTGAAAGCAGCGAAGCTATCAAGTCCTAATTTGAGAAGCGTTCAGAATGGACAACTAGCTGAACTCTGAACGTAGTCATTGACAACACAAATCAGATCGAATCCCATAACTTTTATTATTCTTTTCGTGCTGCAATTACCAAATATTGTTTAGCAAAAGTTGGATCTGTCGATTAGTTTTAGTAATGGAGTATTTTAGCTTGATCTATGCTTCAGCTTATAATGTTTTGCTCATATGGCCAGATAAAAGTATTTGGACCGAAACAGAAAAGAGCCCTCACAATTTTTTTAGTATTACTATTTGATACTGCGACTGCGTAAGGTTTCTCCTTATCTGACCCTTTGCTTCTGTATTTCAGAGTAATAATTTTTAAAGGCTGGATGTTTATATCATCATTTTCCTTCTTTGTTGTCGTTGTTATCCAATCAAAGATTCATTCGCTTTTAATAAATTCGTTCTTTGATGTTTCACTATGTGACTTTATTTATGGTAGAGCATGATTAGCACTCTGTATTATATTTAATAGGTGGCTGACTCGCCTTAACGGTTCCCCAGCCTCTAGAATGAAATTTGAAATGGAGTGGAGACGTCACAGAACGATAAAGCCGGCACTCGGTTGTTGACCATTTTCAACTTGTGAAGCTATTGATGCCAGAAAACTTCGGGTCTGAATTAAACGTTTGCCAGTAATTCAAGATGTCGAGGTTCTTGTAACTTCATTGACAGAGCCTCATCAAAATTTTGTTGGTTTATTTGCCGAGCGGTGTCATTGTTGTGTATTTTCCTGTGTCAGCAAAATTTCAAATAACTTGTTATGAGTTCCATTGCTTCTGTTTTCGTATAGATTTATAAAGGCCATTCCACGTTAAATCGCACTTTATTTTCCCTTCATATCTCAAATTTTCTTTAAATTTTGCTCTTAGTAGAGTCCAGGCGAGCATAAAAAAAGCCGCAAAAAAACCCTGAAAAAGTGAAGTCCCCGCCAAGTTACACCTCTCAGTGTGGCAAAATTTGTCAGGTTGCCACTTGACAAGCCTCTTTACAGGCTTGTAATTTAGCTCGTTTTGAATAGAATTTAATGCTTTTTTGTTTATTGGACTTGATATATTCTGAATTTTTAAAGCACATTTATTCTTTTAATTCTATTAAAAAATCACGTAGACACAATGAAAACAAAATTGGAGATGGCGATTTTCTGGTATCAAGAGATACGAGCCGGAATAGGATGTAAAACTGAAAAAAGCCCACTGTTTTTACAGTAATCCCAAGTACTTTACAACGGCGAAACCATCTGGAGCCGCTTCTGAGGGCCGCAGCGGGCAACCAGAGGTATCCCGTATGCTTTAAACGTTGAAACTTTGCTACAAAAGTTGTAGTTTACTTCCAAAATATTTACTGTTTATCATTTGACAGAATTGTAATAAGAAGCCTTCACTCTAGCGTTTTTTACTTCTTGGATTTGGAATTGTGTCTATCCTGTAGTTGTTAAAGTTTTGGTTGCATAAGCGAACGGAAGCCCGACTTGTTGTTTTTCTTTGAATTTACGTGCTGTAGTTCCCCAGAAACAGAGTAATTTATAAGAAAAATCTTAATTTAACTGATATCCAGGTAAAGCAGTGAGTTCTTTTACTTCTTCGAAACTTCAGAACGTATGCTGGATACATAGTTTTTACAGAAGAAAATACGAGAAATAGAAAACGCTTGAGTGAAGGCTTCTTCTTACAACTCTGTTAAATGATAAACAGTCAATATTTTGCAAGTTTACTACAACTTTTGTAGCAAAGTTTCAACGTTTAAAGCATACGAGATATTTGTGGCTGCCCGCTGCGGCCTTCAGAAGCGGTTCCAGATGGTTTCGCCATTGTAAACTACATAGGATTACTGTAAAAAAAAGTGGGTTTTTTTAGTTTTACATCCTATTCCGACTCGTAGCTCTGGACCGAAGAATTGTCATCTCCAAATTTTGATATG